CTTTTTATGGAATAAATTTATATACCCTATGACCTTTTTAAAATCTTAAATAATAATTTTACTCATATGATGAATTTTAAAAATAATTGAATTGGATTCTCTTGCTAAATAATTAATTAAAAGATTTAATTATTTGGTTTTAATATAAAAAATAATTTATTCTATGTTGATTCAGATCTTAATATTAGTTACTCTCTTGTTTTGAATCTTTGGTCCTAATTATAATTTTATCTACCATAAATTTTATTTTCAAAGAGTAAAAGATTGATATGATATTTCACTTTTAGATCTCTATGCTTGTAGAATCATTAGTGGTATTGACTTTTGCCAACTATTTTTTTTCTCTTTCTCACATATTTATATTCTTAAATATTTTTTAGTTGTTGTTTAATAATTAGGTATTTTTCAATATTACACGAAAATTTGATTTAAAAAATATTATTTGAGTAGAAAAATAGTTCGAATATAATATAAAATATATTAACGTGGGGGTATTTTTTTTAAATTTTAACTCTTTACGCAGTCTATTTAATATTACTTTTTTTTTGTATTGGACATTATGGAGTGGTAATGTATTGCCAATACGGATGATTATTATAAAATTGACTGGCAGAATAGGTAAACACCCCTCTAAACTTGACACTTTTTATTGAGCGTACACTTTTTATGGAAGCGATGGCCATGAAGAGCTGAGGGTTGTTAAAGAAGATCTGAAGAAATATAGACAAACGAATAGGAGAAAACTAAGGAAGGAAAAACCTAATGGATTTTTAGGTGAAGTTGGAGTTGATGAAGGTTATGAGAACATAGATCGGCCCAAAAAAATGAGAGACAAATTAGGAGGTGATGATGAGCCTTACTATGATAGTTCAGATCCAGAAAGCTTTGAATCTGAATTGGATATGGAAGGGGAGGGTGATCCTGTATCTGATGATGATGTAGATGGGGAAGATAATATAGGACAATTAAGGGGAAGGAAAATAAATAAATAAGGTGGTTTATGATCCTTCTGCCAAAATTGTTACTTGGCAACTGGATAGAAGCATTTACCAAGTATGCTATAAAGAAAGGTATTCAACTAGTTAAGGATCCCAATGAGCCACATAGGGTCAAAGTTAAATGCAAAACTGGTTGTCCTTGGTTGTTGTTTGCTAGCAATGAAGGTAGGAGTATAAACTTCACAATCAAGACTCACAACCCATGACACAAATGCCATAAAAACACTTACAACTATCTGTGTAATTCAAAATATGTGGTAAAGCAGTTCAAAGATAGAATTACCTCACAACCTAGAATTAAAGATTGGGTAATTCAGGATATGGTAAGAAAAAAACTTGGTTTATATATTGGTATGGTTGTTTGTTTGAAGGCCAAAATAATTGTGTTGAAAGAAATTATGGGGGATCGTGTTGCTGAGTTTGGTAGGATTCTGGACTATAGGGATATGCTACTCAAAACAAATCCTGGTAGCATATGTGCAGTAAAATTGACAGACACAAATGATGGACAAAAGTAGTTTTCCAATTTCTACATTTGTTTTGCAGCTATGAAGCAGGGGTTTATGGAGGGTTGTAGGAGATGTATAGAGTTAGATGGATATTTTTTAAATGGTGTTTATAAAGGGCAATTATTGACAACAATAGCAAAGGATGGGAATAACCAAATATTCCTGATAGCTTGGGCTATTGTAGGCACTGGAAAAAAGAAGAAGCAAACATAGAGTTGGTCCCTCAGGTTATTGCAAACTGATTTGAACTTGGGAGATGGCAGGGAACTCACCATGATAAGTGACATGCAAAAGGTATATACTGCTGTTTAAATACTATTATTTTTCTGGTTTAAAATACTACTATTTTTCTAGTTTAAACACTACCGTTTCTCTGGTTTAAACACTATTGTTTCTCTGTTTTTATGCAGTACTATTTCTCTGTTTTTATGCGGGGTCTATGTTCAGCTGTTGAAGAGATTTTACCTGAGTGTGAGCACAAAGTGTGTAGTGGACACATTCTCGCAAACTGGGCAATAAAATTGAGAGGGATTGAAAGAAGAAAAAGATTATGGAGTGTTGTTAGATCAACATTTGAGTTTGAAATGAAAAGAAATCTAGATGATCTTGATAAATTGGGTCATAACATTTGTGAAGACCTAGTTAAATACAACAAAGAAAGATGGTGCAAAATATTTTCCCAAACATTCTCCAAGTGTGACAGTAAAGAAATTAACATGTGTGAAAGCTTCAATGCTTGGATATTGGGCCCTAGACACAAGACAACAATATCAATGCTAGAGAAAATAAGGGTCAAAGTTATGATTATGGTAGTAAAGATGAGAGAATTTGTTAAAACTTGACAGGATAGTGTATCTCCAATGGCCATGATTGTGTTCAATACTAATGTTGAGAGGTCAATGAGGGTTGACTTCATGTTTAATGGAGATACAAGCTTTGAACTCAAATATGGTCCATGCAAGTTCATTGTAGATTTAAGAACAGGCTAATGCAGTTACAGGTCTTGGGAACTAAAAGGCACTCCATGTCCACATGCTATAACAACAATGCACTTCAAGAGACTTGATCCTTCAGAGAATATTGTACACTGGTACAGGGAATAGACCTACATGAAGGCATATTCACACTTCATACAATCAGTTCCCAACATGATAATATGGCCATAAAGTAGTAACCCCAAGGTATTACCTCCTCCAGTTCAAAATATGTCTGGAAGGCCAAGAAAAAATAGAAGAAAGGAAGTTGGAGAAATAAAAAGGGCTGGAAAATTATCAAAAAAGGGAACAACTATGACATGCTCCATTTGCAAAGCAAGTACTCATAATATGAGGGATTGTCCAACAAGACCAACAACTAATCAAGAGGTACCTTCCTACCTTCTTCCTTTACTACTATCTTTTTAGTTATCTAAGAGCTAATTTCTCATTTTCTCATATAATAGACTACTAATTGCTCACAACAATCAACAACAAAAACTTCACAAAAGAGAGGTAGAAAGGAATATGACAATGCATCTACAAGCAAGGCATCTACAAGTACTGGAGGAAAATCTGGGGGGGAGGGGGGCAAGAAGCCACTACAAGAGGCCTAGGCTTCAAGGACATGGTGTATTTGTTGTACGGTTTGATTTTACAAGTATTAATGTAAGTGTATTTTTTTTTTGTCCTTAGATGTTATTGTCTAACATACTATATGATGTTATTGTCTAACTTTGAAATGTATCTTTTGGTTTGAATGTTATCAACATGGTTTGCCTACAGTCAGAAAGGTTTATACTGGCCCTTTAATTAATTCTACCCATGTTATTGATGATATTGGATATAAGCCTTCTAAAGGTTTGAAATGGAAAGAGAAGGAAGTTATGATTCAAAGACAACTTCAAGTTAAATTTGCAATGGCTAGAATCAAGACAAGGTCCCAACCCACTGAAATACAAACAAGATCTAAGGTTATGGAAAAATCTCCCTCCAAGAAGACCACTTGGATTTATTTACCGTTTGGATATAGTATTTGATATACTAGACTTCTTTTTTATCGAATTCGTGGGGTGACTGTTTTAGTTAAATTCATGGGGTGTCTGTTTTTTGTGGATACTGATGGTGTTACGCAACTTTATTTTGTGAACTTGTTTGTCATGTGTATGTCTAGCTGTATATGGACAATATAGTTTAACTCTATTGTTTGATGTTAAATTCCGACTTTCTTTGTCAAATTACCAGCTATGTTACAAAATGTTGTGATTGTGATTAGTTATTTTTGTGGATACTGATGGTTGTTTTTATATAAATTGTGATTGGCATCAATTCCATATGTTGACAAAATATTGACATAGTAGTGTCGAACAACATATCATATTGCTTAACTTTTATTACATACTACCAGATAACCATTATTTGTACATGAGCAAAATCATATTCCAAAGTAAACTGAAAAATAATAGAAACTTTAGCATTCTTTCCCTCTTCGATAGTTTATTAGTTTGTTAGTCTTCTTCAATAACCCAGAAATAACAATGTTTGATTGCTCCGGAAATGGAGGTTCATACCACTGAAAAAATTGACAACAATTTGTCTTCGGATAAAGACTACATTCAAAGAATCGTCGTCCAGGATTTGCAGTAATTCATGCAACTTTTAAAGGAGCTGANTCTTTACCTATTCTGCCAAATTGATTTTATTAAACCTTCCTACATATTTTCAATTAACAATAATTTAATAGATAAAATTTTATTAATTTTAAAATTTTAAATAATAAAAATTAGCATAAAAGGTATTGTAGTCCAAAAAATAGGTTATTGCATTTATGTCCTCTTCCTATGAGTTCTTCCGTTTAATAATTTAGGGCTATTTTGGCATATTAATAATGTATTTATGCTTTTATAATAATACATGTTCTCCTTTTTCAAAATGAATTTGGACAATATAATACATTCTCAAATTAAATTAGCAATAGGACATTATAATACGTTTTCAAATTAAATTAGTAATAGGAATTTTTAAGAAGTATATATCTTGAAAGTAATATGATTACATGACTAAAGATATTTATTTGTTCAATTTTATATGAATTAGACAGCCCGAAAGTAATTATACTAACGTGTAGTATTATGTCGTAAAACTAATAGGATTATAAGGCTAATATCTAAAATTTCAGTTATATACTTTTATTATGAGTTATTATGTATTATAAGGTTATTTTTGTAAACCGACATTGTATTCATGCCTTTATAATAATATATAATAAATATAGATTATTAATATTTAGTATTCAAAATTTCACCAAACACTCTTTGATTTACTAATAATAATATTTTATTTTTAATTTTTTTCAACTTGCCAACCAAAATCAAATTTTTTATTTTAGGATAACTTTTTTTATAAAAACATATTATTAAAAGAAAAGTTGGACATAGAGTGAGAAATGGTTTCACCAGCCACATCTAGCTTCTTAGTTCATACAAAGAATCAATTACCGCCTTTGCCAATACATACTTGATACTCCCCATTCATCCAAGTCCTGGACTAAAAGTGCTTCGATCCTGCAAACGTAAAGGACCATTTCTGTTCATGGTTACATTATAAGGACCAAAATACAACCTATTCATATACCTAAATGGACTAATTAGCACCTATATGCTTTGCTTTTTCTCAAAGAGAGCGCGCGAACCAGAAAGCAAGCTGAGTTTCTCATTTTTGGGGTTTAGGGTTTTTGCAATTTTCCTTCTGATCTTCCCATCAGATGGGGGCACCAAATAGTCCTGTCTCTTGTCACTCTCCTCGCAGCTCCATCTCCTCTTCTTCCTTCATTAGAGAAGTACATTTTTTTTCTTAATAAAAAATTAATAATTTTGAATTTCCATTAGTTACATTCAATTTGTATATACTCAGTATTCACTGAGAGGTGCATGTAATTTCTTGTGTAGGTTCACTTATACGATTGGTGGTTGATTAAAGCCGAAGATGGTGCTGGAGGCAAGCAATTGGGTGTTCAAGGTTTCGCTTGTAAACAGTAAAGTCTACCCTCTTCTTCAATTTCCTTGTTATTAGTGAATACATGTTAACATTTTCTACTGTATTAGCAGTTAATTTTTAAGAGCAGCACTTAATCCTATCAATCAATAAATCAATCCGTTAATCAACCAGGCTTAGTCCCAAATTAGTGTGGTCGGACTATGAACCATTCCACTCCGGGATAATTCAATTCATGTGCTACTTTCACCATCTTTCGGGTCATTTCTAATCTTATATAGTTTAATATGAACAAAAATTCATTTTAAAATCCACATTTCTACTACACTTATTTTGTGGATATGTTTGATGTTAGAGGCACATTATTCACTTCTATATAACACTGTTAATCTCACAACCATTTTAAAACATGCTTTTATTTTACTTAAAATTTAATCAAGACGCAGATGATATGTGGATTTCAAAATTTTGCTTTGATTGTCTTACAAGTAGCCACACAAATTCTTATGAATTTTTCCATGTTTTTTTCCCATTGATCAAGTAAGAAACACGGTTCTATTAATGTTCTTTTTGTTGGATTGTTTTCCAAGTTGCATACATAAGTATTATAACTGTAGCAGTATATCTTGTGGTGGATCCATCAGCTTTTAGAACCTTATTTGGAAGGGTATTAAAAGTTTTTTGGCAACGATCCCATTTTCCAGAACCTAATTAGCATAGCTCAGCTTAGAATCTTTCTTTTGGTTCTTTTCCATGGGTATGGATAAAAGATCTAATTCACTTTGCACCTGGATACCCCTGTTGGGCTGCTCATATGCAAGCATAGTAATTCATAAGTTTGTCTTAGTCTAGAAGTGCTTTAGTGGAACTAGTGTACTGTATTTATTTTATTTCATGTGACAAGGCATTTTTTGGATCCAATCATGTGATATTTTGTTGCACCCCCATTAAATAGGAGACCAGATGATAGACTTTTCACCTCCGCAGCAATTGCGATGAGGCATGATACTGTCACTTTAGTGACAGTGGATGGCATCTCCATTCTTGTTAGCGGTTTAATAAATAGGGTTCGGACTCTTCAAAATGGGTTCTCATCAGAGGTATTGAAGTTATTCTAGCTCTTAACTCCTCATATGACTGCTTTATTTATTGACAGTTGTTGAGATGGAACATATGATTGAGATTTACGTTAGCTAACGAGTTTTAGAGGTTCTATTTGGGCTCAACTGTAGCATTAACTGTTGAAATCATAGTACTACCGATAGTTTGTCAAACTTGGTGGAAGATAATGTACGACTCAGCAGAGTCACACACACATCTTGTACATGTTTTTTCACATCAACTTAGTGTTTATTAATGAAATTTTTTGACTTATAAAAATATTCATATTACTATCTGGTGGGTCCTTTCTTGTTCGTTTATTTTTGCTTACCTATTCTGAAGTTTACTCCCCACTCCTCTGTAATTTCTTCTGAAATCTTTTATCAGCTATCAATCTTCTAACAGATAAACTTTAGTCTTTTTCTGCTTTTGCGGTTTTAACTAGCTCCTTGAGGAACCTAAAATAGGAAAGAAAGCCCGCTAAATCATAAAAAAGACTCTTTAAATGAGCATAAGCGCGTTAATTACAAATTAGAATAAAGTTGTTTTTTGAAGATGAAGATAATAAACCAAACTTTCAAACCAACAGGTTTGCAACCAGTTCCTTATTGGATTTCCGTACAACTGGAAAGAATCGGCTGCTCTATCATTTGAGGAATCAACCAATGAGGATGCAGCCTTTGGAAATCCTGGTTTCTCAGATTCAAAAGCATCAGCTGATCGCACAAGTAGCTCCTTCTCTATGCCTATTGATCATCTTCCCACCACTGTTTTACGAGATATCTTAATATCGAGTGCTGGTAATCCAGAAGGCGGGATGCTAAGAAAGAGTATTTTTCGTGAAATAGTGCAGAAATATGGTACCAATGCTTTTAACATTGGTGAAGCTTCTTGTTTGAACGAAAAAAGTGGTAATCTGGTCACAACCGAAGATCCTTCTTTGAATGAAAATCCTAGTCAAAAGAAGAAAGCTAAAACTAATCGGAAGCAAGAGGATAGCTGTACACCAGATGCAAAATATGGAAAAGAAGACTTTCGGCAAGCTACTCTGGAGGATATACCAGAAAAGAGTGTTTTGAGTAGAATACTACATAAAAGTGGTGACAATGCTTCTATCCTTGGTGAAAATTCTTGTTTGAACCAAAAAAGTGGTACTCATGTCATAAGCAGAGGTCTTTCACTGGATGAAACTCCTTGTCAAAAGAAGAAAGCTGCAGCTAGTTTGAAGAATGAAGATGATAACCATGTGCCCGATGCACAAAGTAGAAAAGAAGTGCTTCAGAAATGTAATGATGAGAGTGGAGCTGGCATTGATAACAATAGCTTAAGTAGCAGCCCTTTCACAAGAAGTAAAGCTAGCGTATATAAGAAAACCACAGTTAACCAGAAGGAAGAAGAAAAGAGAGATGTGCATAAAGTAGAATCTGGACAAGGAGATTTTGGGATACTTAACCATGCCACTAGCTCGAGTGATGGTCCATTGACAAGAAGTAGAGCTCAAAAACAAGTTTAATAAACAAGTTCAAGAAGGAAATAGATATTTGTGAAAGGTGTTATCGGAGTTTCGTTGTGCAGATTAACTACCTCTGTATAGTAATGGAAGTTCCATAAATCAGAGTGTTTATGGATTTGTCACCATGTTATTGTAGTCCATAAGGGAGATTGGGAACCATTCTTGTTCAAATTTTGAAGGTTATGTTTTGTTATGGATTGCATAACACCTCCTTGTCTCTTCTTCTAAATGTCAATCTAGCATTTCAATTTTTCCTTTTTGTGTTCCTCTGAGAAGGGGAGCCTTGGAGCAATGGTAAAATTATTTCTGTATGACCTATTGGTCACGGGTTCGAGCCGTGGAATCAGCCGCCACTGATGCTTGCATCAAGGTAGGCTGCCTACCTCACACCCTTGCTGTTCTTTTAGCTTCATTTTCTTGTTATCTTGTTGTTGATAATGCTTGGTGCTACTACTCTTCTTTTCGTCTCTCGTGAGCCGAGGGTCTATCGGAAACAATATTTCTACCTTCAAGGTAGGGATAAGACCTGCGTACACACTACCCTCCCCAAACCACACTTGTGGGATCACACTGGATTTTTTGTTGTTGTGGTGGTCCTATTAAGAAGATGGTGATAGTGCTTGGACCAAGAAGTATTAAGAAGATTGAGCAGTTTCACTATGTGACACTGTACTTCAACGCTAATGCTGTATTTTGCACTTTGTCAAAGTTATCCATACGTTAGACATCATGTTTTTTCCCAAGGGATTCAGGTGTCCTTTATCCTCCCTGCGCACAATCTAAATTCTTAAGTGACAAAGACATCATCCGTCTTGCTTGGAATTCCAAATTTCCAATCTTGACATCTTATCTTATTACCAGTGGGTGCTCTTCTGTAGTGAAATTAGTCCTGCAGATTGTATTGTGTTTTTCCTCATACTCTTAGAACCAGAGACTAAGCGATGGGTTTCTAGTTTCAAGCAGGTTCAATCTTCCAGCAAATGACTCTCTATTCAGTTCTATGGCTCGTTTGATCCAAGAGTTTTGGAATACTTGCTTTGTCAAAGGAAAGCCTGAGAGCATTGAACACGTTTACAAGAAATTTTGGTGTGGTAAGGAAAAACCTTTCTCATAACAAGAAGAGTTATTTACACATCCCTCATGTCGATAATTATATTGAGTAGTATAGTTTTATTACTGTTAAACTAGGCGATTTTATATCATATATGTTCAAGCCTCGGTGGACAGAGTTATTTATACTGGGGGAGGTCGCAGACTAACTTCACTCTAGCGCCTCGTCAGTCTTCTTGTATCTTTTCCAGCTTTGAAAATCGACTAAGCGTTGCGCCAAGCCTACTTGTGAAGAGAAGAGTCGTCGGGCTATTGCCGAGTGAAGGAAGGTGTCTTGGCCTAGGCCTACTTGTGTCAACACCCATAAAGTCCGGAATATCGTATATAATGTGATTATTGTATATATTGATTTTTTAAAATAAAAAGTATATATACTTTATTTAGTATTTAATTTAGATGTTTCTCTTTTTCCACAGGGAAAAGAATATCTCTTTGCCATGTCTTTGCGCTAGCTATCTACTCCTCTTTTCACTTTTTATTATCATCATTTCAATTTCTTTTTTGTTCTAATTCGAATACAGCTTTGGAATCTCTCCTCCTTCTTTGGCTCTCTTTTCTTTGTTAATTATCTCATAGACTTCTTTCTTTAGATAGATTTGAAGGATCTATATTTCAATGAGGTATTTGTACTACTCATCTATTGACCTCATACTCCGACTTTTTGCTATCGTTTCTTGAAATTTACCACAGCATTTGATATGCCCTAAAATCAATAGTCATAGGTAGGAAGCCAAGTGAAGGTTGCCAAGTTTGAAAGTAGGTAAATTAGACGAGCAGCAGGCTGTTTACTTAAGTCGCTTCTTTTGGTGTCGGTTCATCTAATTTTGCTTTTCTTCAGAATGAGATTTAGTAAACTACCTATTAAACTACATATGCTAGGCTCAAGGGCATTAAACTATCTGCTGATAAAAAATGGCATGAGTTTATTTTGCAAAATAGGTCTATATTCTTGCAACTTCTGTCAAATGAAGGACTATTCATGCAATTTGATTTTAAAATTTGGAGGAGGAAGTGTGTGTATTGCAGGTGAAAATGCTCAAGGCTTAACCAAGACCGTCTCCCAGGGAACTTCCTTCCATCATAACAGAAGGATATACTTAAATATACAAGGATCAAACTAGCTAATTTTAGGTTAAACGAAAAAAATAAATAAAAAAAATAGTGCGCATCAGCTCTATCGTTTGGTTTTTTTTATTGTACACTATTTTCATGCTTAGAAACTATTACAACAACAAAAAAAAAGGGACAAAAAACGAAGCGAAGATCGAAGTTCTTCGATTTTTTAAAAAATATTTTTTGCGTTATTTATAATTGCGTTATATATAATTTTTTGAATAATTTAAGATTATTAGTACGGAAAAGGTCTAAAAATATTACCCAACTCACAGAAATGGCCTATCTATGCCATCCGTTAAAAAATTAGTTCATCCATGCCACTAAGTTATACTTTTGGCTCATTCATGCCACTCAACTAAAAGAAATGGCTTATCTATGCCATCCGTTTAAAGGTTGGTCCATTCATGCCACTGACATTATACTTTTGGCTCATTCATGCCACTCAACTACCAAAAATGGCCTATCTATGCCATCCGTTTAAAGGTTCGTCCATTCATGCACTTTTGGCCTATTTATGCCAGTGTCTACTAACAGTTCCATTTTATGGTTTTTCCTTAATAAGAATTAATTTTTCGACCCCGATTTTGCCACGTGTCTTTATATTACTGGTTCTTCTTTACTTGACCCTACATTTCTTTTAACTCTGATTATGTATAATTAACCATGCTCAACCCGATAAAATCCAACTAGTCGTGATGACACATAACCCAACCCGCTAGGTAAGCCAATTAACAACTATTCAATTTAATGAGATTTTTTTAAAGACAGATCAATGATAAAATAACTGAACCTTAATACATTTTCTACGGAGATTTTTAAGTCTTTAAAATAAATGATAAAATAACTTATTAGTATTTGTCCTTTGTCTATAATAGAATTGGATGAGGGAACGACATCCAACTTAACCATGATCACCAAGCCCTCCCCCACTCTCTGAAAAAGAATATATTTGTCACCGTCGCCCTAACGTTAACTTGTCAACGGAATGTTTGGAGCAAAGTTTCAAAGGTAACACATCATTTAATTAACACTGCAGTATCCTAATTTACTTGTATTTGGTATTTACATCGAACAATATTAACTTACTTTGGTTAATATTGATATAGGTATCTTGTTCCAAGCGGTGTCACGTGATACCGTTTCGTTGAATTTTTTTTGTAATATATTTGCATTAATAATGAATAAAATTTATATATATTAAGTATAAATATAAAAAATGACATCGTTTTTCGTTACAGTGATTTATTCATTTATTCTCTTCTTCATATATTAATACTGCTTAAGAAAACTCTTGCGTATGGCAATGACGGTTAGGTGGTAAAATTGAAGTAAGAAAGTGCTATTAATTGTAGTGGTAGTAGTGCATATAAAGACATGTGTTATGTATTCATCAGTTTAATGTAAATAACTAGTGTGTGTAAATTTTATTACTATCTTGTGTATTATTTTTTGTGAGATAAAATAGAAAACAAGAATACATTTATTAGTAATGCGAGGATTAATTATTTAAAAATAAGAATGCGCTTTTGAAATAAATAATTCACATAAAATAATACTTCATCATTAATCACTGCATTATAATTTCGTATACTAATAAGTGAACCAAACGACTCATATTATGGGAAGAGTTTCGTTATATTAATACTCTTTTACATTACCTTAATTCAATTTCATGTATTACAATTTTTTATTAGATATGATTGTTAGAACTTCGAAGAAAAAGACTTCTTAGTTAATTAGTTTGTTGTTCTAGTTGTAACTTGTAAGTAATTGGAAAATAGCATTTCAATGGGAACAACAGTCTTACAAGTTATTGACGCTGCAATCAATGATTTAGAAGGAGAGGCAAATGAAGTGCTTTGCCAAGTGAGCAAGAGAGGTGCTTTGTCAAATGGTATCATTTGTTTTTTAGTATCATTTTATTTTTGCATGTTAAATTACATCGGATGTTTAATAAACTTTTCTAACGAAGCGATGTCGGCTAACACGGTGCTCTGCCCCTGTTTGTCATAGTCATCAAATTTACTTGATTCCACAAAATAAACTTACAATTGTCTATAGTTTGTCGCTAAGCTTGCTTCGAATATATTATTCTCTTGTCTAAATTTGAATTTCCTTCTCAACTGTGGAAGGGGTTTTACGCGAACCCCGTTCGTCAAAAAATTATACTGTATATATAATACAAAATCTATTTTGTGCCTTTATATATTATATTTTGAATCCCCTTAACTTGACACAACTTAAAAGTATAGCTTAGTAGTTAAGGGAGTTCAAAACGTTTATGAGGTTATTGGTTTAGTTCCCATTGGCCACAATCTTGTTTACGTTTTTTATTTTTTATTTTTTGAACTTCCGCCCGTGCTTCCAATTTGACCATTTTGAACTTTCACTATCATGATTAAAATTTAATATAAAAGAGTGTCCATTAACCACCAGATTAACTTCAACCTAATTAAATTTGATTTACTACACCATCGCAAGGGTTCACGAACCTCTTAAGTCTTATCTTTGGGCGAAACTTCAAAAAGGAGAAGAGACCACATATATTGAATACTCTTCCATTACAATTGTGAATTGTCGTTGACTTTGACTGTTTTCGGTTCTTGTCTTCTAGAGACTAGAGTTGGAGTTCTACAAAAGAAAAGTCATGAAACTAACTTAATTGACAATTCTTTTCCAAAGAATTTAAGGACCTCCATATATATTTTTTTCATTTGTATAATTTTCCACTGTACTCGGTATCCACTGTCCCACTTTAAAAATAAAATGCTTCTTATCAAAAGTGATACTATTATTTTTAGGCTAATAACTTGTTTGGCCAAATTTTAAAAATCAGTTTATTATGAGAAGTATTTTTTCTTAAAATTACTTTTTTAAAAAGTATATTTGAAGAGAAACAATTTGTGTTTGATTAATTAATTTGAAAAATATTTCTGAGCAGCAATTTGTTTTTGACCAAACTTTAAAAAAATACTTTTAAGTGTATTATTTTCAAAAATATTTTTCAAAAAATACTTTTGACTTTGAAGATGATTGGCCAAAAAGACTATAAAACCTCAGAATTTTAGTTAAGAATAAAAAAATATTTATCGCTCCATTTCGTCCTTCAATATAATTGTTTGTTGTAGAGTTTCTTCCTTTTTGGAAGTGGTCAATCCTAAGACTAAAAACCCGGTTTCATACTGGTTCAAATACGCGCTTACAAGTAACAATAGCCTATCTAAATTTACCGGAAAAAACCTCACTACTAATTAAGTAACGTTTTGGTCATAGATTTTGTCAAAATAAACTTGAGTTTTACTTGACAAATACATTTTTTGGCCATAGATTTTGTCTATATTTTAGCCAAATCCCAAATCTCAAATGAGCTGGTTTTGGGCTAAAATATCACTATTATATTTTTTAAAATTGCCCCAAACTTTTATATTTTATAAAAGAGCCCAACATTTATTATTTTGTAACAATATTGCTTCGTCTTCTCGATCATCTCATAATGCATCATATAGTTAATTATAAAAATAATAATGAATAATTTTTAAAATGGATATAAGTCATATTTCATATTTTTACAAATCAAACTTCACTCAAAAAAAATGTCCAAACAAATTTTAATCTTCATAACAAACTTAACCTAAATCACATTTTTCAATTTGGAAATTTATTGCCAAACGCGGCCTAAAAAGCTCCCCTCTCCCTCTCTCTCTCTCTCCGTATTATACACGTTTGCTTTGCAGACACATATACTTTCTCTCACTAAACTGGATTGTGGGTTTTTATTTAATTTTCTCAGAGGTAAATTATACCAAGATCTTGACTGCTTCATATCTTATTTGTCTATAAGATTTTGATACCTTTTACTTTGATCTTTCTTTTAGACTGTGTTTTCTTCATTTTTATTGTATAAAGTCATGATCTTGAAATTAGTCCTAGTTGGGTTTGCTTCAATTTTGTTGTTCTCTTTTTTGGACCTTCAAGCTTTGGTTTGTATTGGATGTTTTTGCTGTACATTCTAGAAACTAGAGATTTGTTAGGTAGGAAATTGGGAATTTTAATGATCTGTTTTCTCTTTGTTTTGTGGTGAACTTTCGTATCAATTTGTTGAATTGCAGGTTAGTTAAAGTTTGATTCTTGATGAGGTTCTACTTTTATTTCTTTAATGTTTTTGTGTTTTTAAAGGGTGTGTTTATGTTCTTAGCTTTGAATTTATCAATTTTTGACAAAAAAGTTTTTTATTTCCAGGGAGATCAAAGGTGGAAAAATTTGAAGAAAGGGTGGAAAGTAGAAAAAGATGGCTAATAATGCAGCAGCTTGTGCAGAAAGGGCAACAAGTGATATGCTGATTGGTCCAGACTGGGCTATAAACATTGAGCTTTGTGATATTATCAACATGAATCCTGGGTACTTTATCTTGACCATATTGTTTAAGTGATTATCTGGACTTGACTGCACAGTATGCACCATGCTTTGCGTTCTGTCTCTTCCAGCATCACAAAATAATAAAGTGTCATCTGCATATAGAATATGTCACTGTGTCCATCTATGTGGAAGTCCTTGAGCCAGCAGTAACTTTTTTTTAACAAGTAAAAAATTTCATTTTACAATTCCAAGCTCCAACCTGATTAAGCATTAAGCTTAACACTTCCATGACCATGACAAATAGGTAAGGATAGATAGGGCCTCCTTGTCTTAATCCTCTTCGTGGTTTGAAAAGACCATCAGGGTTCCAATTTAACAATTTATTTATGTGATTGGAAAAATTTCACCTAGAAGATGTATACCAAAGTTGAGAACCTTACATGGTACCTGTTGCTGGTGGGAGGTAGCAGGTGCGCGCAAGTTGGGCCGGACATCACAATTATCAAAAAGAAAAAAAAAGAACCTTACAGAAAGACGTGATTCTCTCACGAGTATCCAGTCAACACTAGTGAGTGGTACATCAAAAGTGTTCCTAGATTTTGACTAGACATCTGTTGTCGAAGGCAAATGTGTTTTGTATCTTATATATCTTATCCAAAAAGAAAAAAAAACACTGTGTAAGAAGGAAGAATTAGTCTTGTGTTCCCTTCACCGCACATTTTGGGGAGGTCGTTTCAAGGACTGCCTGTCATGGCTCATGAGTGACCACACTTTCAACAATAGCCTGAAACGTGATCCAGCTTTGCCTCCTACCTTAGTCTCTAGAAGAAATCCCAGGGTCTGATAGCAGTGAAGTAGGTAAACCGTGTATACTTCTTGTATATGGGCCTTTTGTTGGTGCAAACATTAATGAGGTTTATTTACCTTACCAAAGAAAAAGTTGGAGGCAGGCTTTCTGGCTGATAAAAGTTTAAGATGCATTTCTGCTGATTTTTCTTTTACCTAAATGGTATTTCTGCATTGCTTTATGATCTTCTGAACTTGTTTGTTTTCTTGTAAAATTTCAAATTGCCCTAGTCTTTTTTGCCAGGTTGAGCTATTCTGTAGTTGATCTTGTACCAGCTTACTGATTAAACTCTAATTTTTTTTGAGAAGGCTTACTGATTAGACTCTAATTGCAGACAAGCAAAGGATGCTCTTAAGATTATCAAGAAACGTTTAGGGAGTAAAAATCCGAAAATACAGCTCCTTACCCTATTTGTAAGTACATCTCACTTGAACTTAATTTTACTAGATTTCTTTTTGTCTAGGGTTACATAGAGTTTATTTGCAGAAATATCTTCCATAAAATTCTAATTTAATGAAATTTTATCCAGAAAATTATTCTCTTGCTTTTCTCATATATGATTTGTTGAGTTTGTCTCCTTATATGGTCTTGGGCAATTCTCACCTCATGATTAAAAGTACCAAGATCCATATTTGAGCTAGCTATTGGGGTTGAATTAGGCCCAATGTTCATTTCTTATCATGTTTAAAAGTACAAGTCTAAAAGTTGAACTTCCCATATCTTATAAGATCCACTTATATCCTTAGTTTAACATACAAATTTGACATGTTACTGGTCTCATCTCCTCATTCCTGACATATCGTCTGTGAAACTGGTATAACTGACAAGAGGTGAATATAGTTGTCAAACTTTAGCTTGCTAGTGTACTCTGCTGAAATATCTCTTATGTGTTTTCAGCACATATGTAGTGTTGGCATTTTTCAGATACGTTGATAACAATTGCCAATAGAAATTCACTTATTAATGTGTCATGTTTGACTGCTTATGTCTCGAGACAGTTAATTTATCAGTAAAAAATTCAGTGGATATTCTGGAAGTACAGTTGTTCATTCTCATCATGGGATTTGCCATTTGAAGTTGCAAAAAAGTTCATAAAGAGAAACTTGAATTGAAGATTATTTTACTATCTATTTTATTCTCCGAACGTTTTATTCAGGTTCTCGAGACCCTGAGCAAAAATTGTGGAGAGAATGTGTTTCAGCAAATTGTGGAGCGGGACATTTTAAAGGACATGGTCAAAATTGTGAAGAAGAAGGTAAACAACTTCCTGATATACATGGTTTCCTCAACTTGTTTCACCTCTTTGAGATCTGTACTAACTTTACGATTATTGTTTTTGATGTAAACTCTGCAGCCTGATTTAAATGTGAGGGAGAAGATTTTGATTTTGATAGATTCATGGCAAGAAGCTTTGGGAGGGCCAGGGGGAAGATTTCCCCATTATTACGCTGCATATAATGAGCTGAAGGTGATTCCTTTGTGTTCCTATTATTATGTTTAAGCATCTATCAATTTTTGCGTTAAAGCTGTGCGCAAATCAGGGGCGGACCCACATAGGGTCAAGAGGGTTCAAATGAACCCGCTTCGTCGAAATTTTTTGGTATTATATATGGGTTAAATTCTGTAAATTTGATATAATAATGTTATTTTGAATCCTCTTGAGCAAACATGATCTCGTGGACAGATGGTTGCGCGGGTTCAATGTTTGATGCAGGTTTAAGGGTTCGAAACTTTGTAACAGCAACTGTTTGCTGTTTTGTTCTTTTGCATAGTTTTTGTTCTTGCATATCTTTTGTTCTTTGTCACCGTGTGTGCACAAGAGCACATGTGTGTTCAGTCATCAATGCGTGAAATCTAACATTATTTTGCTGAAACTTGCAAGTGCAGACATTGAATATTTATAATTCCTAGTTCATCTTAAATTATTTTATGCTAAATTAATTATTTATGTTATGTCGAACAAGTTAGTTTACTTTATCAGCTCTCTTATCTTATATTAGTTTAGTTTAAGTTATAACTCTTTATTTTTTGTTTGTAAATTAACAATTTTGTTCTTTATAAGAAAAAAATCTAATAAATTTTCAAATTGGTTGAATTTTTTTTGTTAAAGTTTTACAAGCTGTAAAATTCGTTTAAGTATAATTGCTAAATTAAATAGAAAAATTGTTAACATTTGCAGCTAAAGTAATTTGTATTTGTTAAACGTTTTAAATATCTTTCCCAACTATTTTTGGAAAGAAAAAAAAGGAAAAAAAAAGTCGTCTCAACTTTTTGGATGTTTGTTTTGTGGTAGAACAGTATGACTCAAAAAGAAAAAACGTTGGGCAAAGTTTACTTGTCGGTACAGCCCTTATTGTTGGTTATAATTATTTTTTATTGAACCCGCGTGCATAAAATTCTGGTTCCGCCACTGATGCAAAGCATTCTTGGTTGATCTTTCCCTTATTGTAGCGCCTTGCTGTAGCAAAGTTTCATGTTTTCAGTTTCAGTTGGTAATAATTTCCTAGATATCTTTCTCACAAAAAAGAGAAAAGTTCCTGGATTTAGCTGAATCAACTCCTCTATATTAATCTATTAGATAAGAAAGTGGATATGTTTCCCGGATATCGATTCACATTGACCTCTATTCAGATGTCTTTGGAACTGGATAAAACAAAGTGAAAGGAATGGAAAATGAACCAAAGAAAGATAAAGAAAACTGAAAGAAGAGAGTTCCCTTCCTTTTGTCTAGGACCTCTAGGTGCAGAGCAAAGCTAACGGAAGACAATTTTCTCTCTCATCACTATCCTGGTTGAAATAATTAAGTCTGCCTTAGTAGAAAATAGTTTTCCCAATTTCATATTGCTTCCCTCTCTCCATCCAAACCAAACAAGTTAAATGAAAGCTGCTGCAGCCATGCAGGAAGAGAAGGCAAAACAACTTTCAATCATCTAAGTACTGTGCAGAATTTCTGTTCATGATAATGCTATTTTCTCACTGATGTCCCTTAGCATTCTCTTAGGTCTGGCTTATTTTGATAGCTTTTGTCATTTTCCTGGTGGTTTCCCCTTTCCAGGACTCGCTTTATCTTGCCGGGCAATTGCCTGTTTTCCACAAGGTATTGTTCTCCTCCGAGGCTTGAGAGCTTATTCCCTTCTTGTTCACCTTTCCATCCCGAAAATAAGAGAGCCTTCACGGAAAAACTGTTGGAACGAGATCTCTCATACAAAAAGACCTGAACTAACTACCCGCTCAATGCGCATTGAAATTCTAATGAATGCCTTTTATATTTCATCTATAACTATATGTCGGTCTTTTCTTCCGGACACCCCATTCTGCAGTGGAGTATGAACACAAATAGCGGGACATGACAACGGTTGGGGAGAAGGAAAAGCTATCAGACATCAATCCAATGAACAGACAAAGCGGCTTGGCCGAAGGGGGTGTGTGTATATATATAAGTTTTGCTAACCTACAACATGGTTGTAGTAGGTTAGCATTGTAAACATAATTTAGTTCTCCAAAATACCCATATTATTTGCTGCCACCACATCAAATTTAGGTTTTTTTTTTGGGTTCCAGAAAAATTCGCCATTTTAACTTTTATCTCTGCAATCTGCATTTCCCACCTCTACAACGTTATGGCAGGAAACAAAGTCAGCAACACCTTTATTTTCCATCGTCAGCATGTCATTCTTCTCAATCCAGTATCTTTTTCTCACAACTTGACAATAATATAATGGAAGTAAGATTTTGCTCTAATGTCTCTTCATATTAGTAAACAGATTATGGTGTAAAATTTTGTCAGTTTGCTTTTTGATTTGTTTATACCCAACAATAAGTCTATTTTATTTTATCCAATAGAATCCACCATTTATTGTTCCAAAATTGGATTTTACAGATTCAAGATTCATTTTTCTTCAGTCATGCACAAGGAGTCTATTAAAATAATCCAATTCTTATTTTGTGGTTTTGTCTTTATTCTTCTTCTGAGTATGTACTAAACCTTGCAAAATCACTTTATTATTCTGCAAATTGTTCTTCGTTGCTATGGAAAGAGAAGAGGAGAGAGGTAAAGGGGCTACTGCGGAGAAAGAGTTCTAGTAAGTTGGGTTTAGTATTTCAAGTTTAGAAGGACAGAAAACCCCCTAAATTTAATGTGGCGGCAGCAAATAATATGAGCATTTTGGAGAACTAANATATATATAGGATCTTGCTAACCTACTACATGGCTGTAGTAGGTTTGCATTGTACCAACTTTTAGTTTCCATGTCAGCAAATTATCAACACATGAATTAAATGGGTTCTTTGTCTTTTAGCTCATCCAACTCTTTCCTCCACCGTACTTGGCGTCTCTCTCGGGCAGAGAAGAAATCCAATTTTGCTTCACTGCAAAATTCTTTGCAGTTTTCAACCCATTTTCTTAACTTCAGTTTCCACTGACAATTCTTTGCAGATTTCAACATTTTCTTAAATGCCTCCCCCATTTTCTTAACTTCAGCTTCCACTGTAAATTATGTTCTTAAAATGAAAATTTCCAGATTAGCGTTTGCTGAAGTTCTTTTTGGTGGACAAGCCACATCAATTGCTTCTTTCATTTCTTTTCCCAGGGAATCCAATGAAGAGCAAGAGAAAAACATAAACAGCAAAGTCGGTTGTGGAGGGGGGGGGGGGGCATTAA